CGCGGGAGAAAGAAACTTAAGAACTACCAAGTAGTCCGTAACCATCCACGACTTTCAGATGGAAGGCCACAACGACGAATGAGTTATGATTCATCTACGTAAGCTCCAAGACGGTGCGCTTATCTCCAAGAGAGAAAATGCAAGGACGGAGAGTAGGGTAAACACGAGTTTCCTTAAAAGACCTATGACGCAGGTATGAGACTCCTCAAGAGAAAGGAGATAGTGACAGACGGCTCACGGTAAGGATGTGAGAATAGACGTTAGGGGTTAGACTTGGGATGTCGATCCCAGAACTCACTACCCATGCCTAAGGGCTTGACCCTTATATGTCAATATGTGGGGAATCGAGTGAGGGTGTTGAATCTTTGTTGACATGTGTGTGTGCAGGTCCGGACTCATTTTACTGCTGCATTGGAAGGAAAGGATCTACAAAAGGATCTAAACTTTCTGTTATCTCTCGATAACAGGTCGGTTGTTACCGATTCAACTTTCTCCCTTTCACTTGATACCCACCTCTAAAGTCAAACCCTGTGGTCAGTAAAACTGTCACTTGTGGTCATTGCCTAAATGGTCCTGGTCACTCTCAAGGGTCCTTTGTAGAAATGTGAGGGGGCTGGGCTTACGTCTCAGGAAAGACAAGGCTGTGATGCATGGTTTGGGAAGTGAGGGACAAGGTCAATGGTTGATGGTTGACGCCGTTGGTGCATGGCATGTGAACTGTCTTTGCATTATTCTGTGCAGGTCTGTTTTGTGCGTGATTTGGATTGAACTGGACCTGGTCTGTTGAAGAGTCTCGGACACACAACACTTGTGAAAGTGGGAAGGGTTCTCGACGGTAATACTTCCATATTCATCATATGTCCAACTTAACTATTATGATGTTCAGTTAAGTCCTAACCTCTTAAGAAAGATAGGACGCTCTTTGGTAGAAATAAGGTTTGATTGATATTAGTCAAGAGAATTATACATTACACAGTAGCGGAAATAGACTGCCTTATTAAAAGTTCGACCTGAATATCTAACAGGTCAGTTCTAGGCGTCTTACCGCGCGTACCCCATTTTATGCTACAACGATTGAGCAAACGCCATCGGCACCTACCTCTACAAAGGCATGTGAAAGCCTTTGCATGTGGGCTGGTAGCTCAGCAGGGATACGCCTACCTGAGGGTGGTGACAACCCCTCGGGTAGAGGTAAGTTGTACCTCGCGACGTCCCGACCTGTCGCAGGGCGTCGTGAGAGGTATAGCACGCCGCACGGTCGGAGTGGTAACCGGTTCTTTTTCAGGAATACATCCCACGTGACACGACCGTGAGGTTCAGCGCTCCCAGCGGGGTGCGGGACCGCCGCGCGCGACAGCGTGAGATTGGGCGTCACATATCAGGTATATGACGGGGTCTACTCATGCATGGCTTAGCTCTGGGGTAGGGTGGGGATATAAGTCGCTCCGGCTAGTCTGAGTTTCGCCTAGCCTTGGGTAAGTTAGGGGAAGGACATTAGGATGTGTCCATGGACGCTGGCTTGCCTTGCTTAGGTACTCGTGCTGGGTAGACTCTCTGAATTGGGCCTGTAGAAGATTGCATGAGCCTGGCGTCCGAAGTTCCCGTATGGCAAGGTTCGTCCCCTTCCGCTTCCACTAGGGCTGGGGTGTTGGCCCAGCCTTGGTACTTGTCACTGCTGTCTGGTCCAAGTTGCCCTCGATACTGGTAGCGTGATGATCCTGAGTGCTGGTCACACTGAGGTAGGATAGTAGGGACAGGGG